TGAGGGCGGTGAGGGCCGTGAGAGCAGTGAGGGCTGTGAGGGCCGTGAGGGCGGTGAGGGCGGTGAGTGTGGTGAGGGCCGTGAGGGCGGTAAGGGCCGTGAGGGTGGTAAGGGCGGTGAGGGCTGTGAGGGTGGTGAGGGCTGTGAGGGCGGTGAGGGCTGTGAGGGCTGTGAGGGCCGTGAGGGCCGTGAGAGCTGTGAGGGTGGTGAGGGCTGTGAGGGTGGTGAGGGCCGTGAGGGCTGTGAGGGCAGTGAGGGCTGTGAGGGTGGTGAGGGCTGGAGGGTGGTGAGGGCTGTGAGGGTGGTGAGGGCCGTGAGGGCTGTGAGGGTGGTGAGGGTTGTGAGGGCGGTGGGGGCCGTGAGGGTGGTGAGGGCCGTGAGGCTGCGAGGGCGGTGAGGGCTGTGAGAATGGTGAGGGCCGTGAGGGTGGTGAGGGCATTGAGGGCGGCGACGGCTTGAGGGTGGTGAGGGCTGTGAGGGCCGTGAGGGCTGTGAGGGCGGTGAGGGCTGCGAGGGCTGTGAGGGTGGTGAGGGACGTGAGGGCGGTGAGGGCTGTGAGAGTGGTGAGGGCTGTGAGGGTGGTGAGGGCTGTGAGGGTGGTGAGGGCTGTGAGGGTGGTTAGGGCGGTGAGGGCCATGAGGGTGGTAAGGGGTATGAGGGCCATGAGTGCATGAGGGGAGTGAGGGCGATGAATGGCGTGAGGGCCATGAGTGCGTGAGTGGTGTGAGGGCGGTGAGTGCATGAGGGGTGTGAGGGCGGTGAGTGCATGAGGGGTGTGAGGGCCATGCGTGGCGTGAGGACCGTGAGGGCGGTGAGTGAATGAAGTGTGTGAGGGCCATGAGTGCGTGAGGGCGGTGAGTGCGTGAGGCACCCTTCAGATCGAGCATCTTTCTCAGCAATTTTGGTGTTAATGGCGGGTTGTTCTCTAGCTTCCCTAGATCGACACGAATTGCTGAGATCGCGTCCGGCTCGAAATAAGCAAGCAACTCGGAGCAATTCTAATTCCAATTCTATGTTAGGCTACCTAAAACGTAACTTTTCTTTAGCACCAGTTTCTCTCAAACTAATATTATTCAAATCTTTGGTTCGCTCAAAATTAGAGTATGCAGCTTCAATCTGGGATCCTGGTCAGACGACGCTCACTTCTCATCTCGAGTCAGTTCAGAACCGCGGCGCTCGTTTCATACTTAACAATTATCACCGTACAGCTAGTGTATCATCCATGAAATCTCTTCTCTCCTTGCCACTGCTTTCTTTGCGCCGTAAGTTTTCTCGTCTATGTCTTTTCAATAAAATATATAATTCTAACCCCATTCTTAAAGAAAAGCTCTTCCTCGTCCCACCTTACGTTTCTCCACACATTAATCATCAGTACAAAGTCGGCGTTCCTCATTCTCGAACCTCAGCCTATCACGATTCTTTCATTCCTAAGACATCACCAGAGTAGAACCACCTTCCGGCGTCATTAATATTATTACCCTCGTTAGATGTGTTTAAAAGTGCTGTTACTAATTATTTTTGCGAAAGTGACCCGTGACCTATTCCATGTCTTCTATTACTGTTTGTTGTTGTTTTTTTTCACTCACTCCCCTCTGTAACGCCCCCAGGGCCTTGAGGGTATGTAAATAAATAAATAAATAAATAAATTCGAATACGTTTGAAGCGGCTGCATCCAATCAGGGACGCAAAATTTTCACGTGATAAATCGTGCCGGTGATGATGACGCCGAAAGACTTGGTTCTGGTTTGAAATCAATAATTTTTTTCGAAATAAACTGTTTCAGAAAGGTGCATTAGTATTCTTAACGAGACTTAAATGCATAAAAACACGTTTATAATGCGTAATTGTATCTAAATAGCGCAAGAAAAATAAAATTTTATGATGACAATGGCAAATTGCAGCAATTGGTTGCTGCGTGGGATCGCGGGCGGCCCGTGTTGCTGGTGTTGCGACGTAAAGTTTCTGGGCGAAATTGCCCCATCTGAAGCTGGCCTGAGTGGCGCGAGGGCCATGAGTGCGTGAGGGCCTTGAGGGGTGTAAGGGCCGCAAGGGCGGTGAGTGGCGTGAGGGCGGTGAGTAGCGTGAGGGCGGTGAGTGGCGTGAGGGCGGTGAGTGGCGTGAGGGCGGTGAGCGGCGTGAGGGCAGTGAGTGGCGCGAGGGCGGTGAGTGGCGTGAGGGCGGTGAGTGGCGTGAGGGCGGTGAGTGGCGTGAGGGTCGTGAGGGCGGTGAGGGCAGCGAGGGCGGTGAGTGGCGTGAGGGCTATGAGTGCGTGAGGGCTATGAGTGCGTGAGGGCGGTGAGTGGCGTGAGGGCGGTGAGTGTCATGAGGGCTATGAGTGGCGTGAGGGCCCTGAGGGCGGTGAGTGGCATGAGGGCTATGAGTGCATGAGGGCAATGAGTGCGTGAGGGCAGTGAGTGGCGTGAGGGCGGTGAGTGGCGTTAGGGCGGTGAGTGGTGTGAGGGCGGTGAGTGGCGTGAGAACGGTGAGTAGCGTGATGGCGGTGAGTGGCGTGAGGGCGGTGAGTGGCGTGAGGGCGGCGAGTGGCGTGAGGGCCGTGAGGGCGGTGAGGGCAGTGAGTGGCGTGAGGGCTATGAGTGGCGTGAGGGCCATGAGGGCGGTAAGGGCCGTGAGGGCGGTAAGGGCCGTGAGGGCGGTGAGTGGCATGAGAGCTATGAGTGCGTGAGGGATATGAGTGCGTGAGGGCCATGAGGGCGGTGAGTGGTGTGAGGGCGGTGAGTGGCGTGAGGGCGGTGAGTGGCGTGAGGGCCGTAAGGGCGGTGAGTGGCGTGAAGGCTATGAGTGGCGTGAGGGCCGTGAGGGCGGTGAGTGGCGTGAGGGCTATTAGTGCGTGAGGGCTATGAGTGCGTGAGGGCCGTGAGGGCGGTGAGTGGCGTGAGGGCCATGAGTGAGTGAGGGGCGTGAGGGCGGAGAGTGCGTGAGGGCCTGAGGTTCAGTGAGGGTGAGTGAAGGGCTGAAGGTGAGTGTGACTCTGAGGGTGAGGATGAGTGAGGGGCTGAAGGTGAGTGTAGCTGTGAGGGTGAGGGTGAGTGAGGGGCTTAGGTGAGTGTGGCTGTGAGGGTGAGGGTGAGTTAGGGCGACCTAAAATGCCGACCTCTAGCTACTTGCGACATGCTTAAAGTTATTCGGAAAATCAAAGCTATGTCTTTTAAACCTAAATAACTGTGCCATTGATAAAAAAAAAATGAAAATAACAATAAATGCGGGGATAAAAATCTGGGGGAAAAAAAACTATCAAGAATTCGCCGGAAGTGTTGTATTCTTGCATATTCAGAGGCTCAGAACTTCGAAACAAGTTTCTCCTACCAAAATGTGTAAAGGCTAAAAGAAACATGTCCCAAGAACGTGAAGCAGAAAAACAAATGTTTTTTTTTTAATGACGTGCTGAACTTGAACAATATTAGATATCTTCTCCTATGAGTTAATTTATTCCTCAACATGAAAAAGCAATAAATACATTAATTTGGATTATGCAGATGGCAATGATATGTAGTCTGTAGTGTTAATTCAAATGCGATACCTCGAACAACTTAGACGAAAAAAAAAAAAATACCAAGTTTAGGGCATAATTGCCCGTAGATACATGTTTGGACATTTCTTCGAAACTCATCTTGAATAACAATAACCACATCTTAAGACGACACTTACCTAGGCTATATATAGATCATTGTTAAAAAGTTTAACATCTTTACCATAAATAGCTTCGGCTATTGCGCGCTTCAAAAATGGCACAAACGACAATCGTGAAAAAACCGTCGTCCTTCCTTGCCCCTTTGGGAATTAATTTTTTTTAAACTAAGAAAACCAGAACATCGAAATAAATGGCATTGTCTTTCGTAAGGAACGCAGCACCGCATGTAAAAGATTGAGAAAAAAAATATTACGAATGTACACATCGCGACACTGTTAGCGCGAACACGACATCGGCGCATTTTACTTTTAGATGGTATTAGCGAGCACGAAATTTTATCGCTTACATTATAGAACTAAATGAGCTCTTTCCAAAGCAATATTAACTTGGATGACATCCCTTGGTTTTAAAGAAAAAAACTGGAAAAACCGGTGATCGCTTGTTCGCGCTAACAGTGTCGCGCTCTGTACCTCACTACTTGAATTCAGATGAAACCGTCCGCTGGTGTTTCGAAGTTCGACGAACGTTGAACTTTTACCCTAAAAGTTAAAAGTTTGTCGAACTTTTGACATTTCAGGATTCCAAAGTTCAAAACTTTTCGAATTCTCTTGATAAATAGGTTTGAAAGTTCGAAAATTATTGAATTCCTTAGCGTAGAAAATTCGAAAATTCCAAAAGCTTCAAACTTTTTAGTGGAAGAATTTCGAAAGTTCGAAAATCATTGAATCTTTTGGTTTATCAAGTTGGAAAGTTCGACAAGCATCAAATTTTGCAGCGTAATAAGTTCGAAAGTTCGAAAAGGATCTAATTTTTTAGCGTAATAAGTTCGACAAATCGGAAAGTGTCAAACTTCTTAGTTTAACAAGTTCGAAAATTCGACTTCCGTCGAACTTTACTATAAAGAAAGTTCGAAAATTTAAAATCTTTCAAACCTTTCGAACCGCTTGATTCGATCATCGAAACTTTGGTTCGAAAAACGTTTGCGGTATCTCTATCAGCTACCCAGTTGGCAATACACCCCTGGCACTGCCTCGTGCGTCTGATGCTTCGCGTATAATGTTGTAGTGACCGGCCTACGAAGGAAGACGAAGCGACATCAACGCCCGATGTCTTCGAACAATGCAGCCTTTCCTTTGTAAATATTGTAAATAAAACATTTAAGTAGCACAACGAGCCTCTACAATGTGAGGCTTGTTGCGAACAACACAAACAATCGGTTTGTGTTGAGAGTAAACGTCGCATTATTTTACCAAGCACGAGGTGGCGGCGGGTCTGCGGTGCCATCTAGTGAACCGATGACGAGCCGATTCATTTACAAATACGACATGTGGGCAGAGAGGCAAGCACTTACTTTTCCGGCGTGTGCACGTGCGTGAACGGGGGCCCTACGAGAAAAAAACCGCCAGTTCTCACACATAAGACTGCAAAAGACCAGAAAGCTTTTGTTCGGCCCTGTATTTCAGCCAAATGCCACATACTACCTAAAAGCTACCAGTTAAGCTAAATGCTTCTAAGAAGTAAAAATAGAGCTTTGGATTTCGAGCACTGACTAGAAACGAGCGAAAAGTTTTAAAGGTTTTTAACGACTCGGCAGAGCTGTCAGGCATTGTCATTTAATGTATACCCAAATTTAATTTTAGTAGCGTTGCGCAAATATTTGAATAGTATTTTCGAATAATACGCTATTCGACATTCACTTCCAGACAAACTGCGATATTCGTATTTGTTCAGGCGTTGATCGTGGTGGGTTAGCAAACACTGAGTGTGCTTATTACCGAGCACCGGTACACTGCAGAGAAGCAACACCCATGGAGCTCGCTTTCGCGGGTGCTGCTTTTCTGCACTGCACTGGTGCTCGGGAAGAAGCCCACTCAACAAGGATAACCCACCGAGATCATCATTTCGAAAAGTACAAATAAACATTCCAGTCGTGCACTCAGGAGGAAAACACACTCTCAAGGTGGGACGGTGCAAGCATGTGCCTGGTGTATATAAAAATAAACGGGAATTTGTAAATTTAGTTATTTACACTACAGTAAAATTTAAAAAAACGGGCTATTATGCAAGAGCATATACGTTAGGCAGAGATATCCCGACAATTTGTGTTCATCATTCATAATCGTTTTTTTTTTTCTTTTCTCAAATTATAGATTGAAGACAGGACATTTGCAAGAAGATTTATAAATCTCGATGATTAGGTATAGCTGGGCATCTCTAGGTTTGATTTTATGTAAAGTGGGTCATTTACTTGCTACACCAATTTAGGTATTGGACTTTCTGAGGCTGCAGTCCATAAAGCTTGGGAACAACCTTCTCGAGTCTATCTGGGCTTCTGTTCTTAAAAGCGTGGTGCAGTGGTGACAGACTATTCAATATTCAATTCGAAAATATTTGACCAATTTCACTACTCACTTCGACTTCACTTCAAGCTCAAAATCCACTATTTGCGTGACTAATTTCCAGCATACATCTTTAGTAAAACAATTAAATGAACATATTTACATATTACAACTCAATTCTTCCAAAAAATAATGTGCGTGGTAGATTCAAGTATGATCAAACAGGAGGGGGTCAGTTGACATTTGAACTCAACAATTTTAAACACCCTACCCCAGTGGTTCACAACCACTGACATTTCAGGGAACCTTTTTGAAATGGCAGAAGCGATGGGGAACCCATCCACCAGGGTGGAGAGGGGTATTGGACAAACGACTAAAGTAAACTCTGAACATACTTTGAAGCTTGAAAATGAATAATACTCAAACCTGCTCATTCAACACACATGGTTTGGTCCATTTAGCTTTGTAGGACAGCTAGCATCAATAAAAAAGAAATAGTTTTGCTCGCCTTGACTGACAGTTTAGTGCTTCAAGGACTTTATGGAGGCCCTCAGGGACCCCAAAAGATGTGCAAACCCCCTTAATAAAATAAAAATAAAAATTAATTTATAGAAATGCGGTTAGCTGCATTTATGCTTGCCGCTGTGCTGGTAAACTTTGGCAATAAATAAAATTAATTTCTCAGTGACAGTTGCTTCCTGTCTCAAGCATGAGGTCCCAAAAATTGCTACTGGTTCCTTCGATTTTGAGATATCAAGTCTTAATGCAGCCCCTGCAAAAAAGGAAAGAAAAAAATGGCTCTGGGAAAGTGGGAAACCTTGAAGTCCCCTCGAACACATTTGGTGAGTCTACATTCTGTCATTTGTAAACTCTTAAAGTGAAAGAAGCTCAGTGATGTGATTGGTCCGAGGCATTTTGAAGCACCTTTTGGAACAGATAAAAGTCCATAATGGAGCAACAAAGCGAAATTACAAGAGAGCTGGCATGCGTGCCAACAATTTGAGTGATTCATCGGTTTCGAAGCTCCAGTTATCTCGAGCGTCTCGCGCTTGGGGTGACTCCGAGGGAATGCACTCCCCGGAGAAAGGGAGCTCACCTAGGAGTGGCTCGGTGACCCTGGTGAGCGAGAGGGCTGCCGCGGGAGTGAACTCCGACTGGCCCGGATCGCAGTCCAGGTACACCACTTCGGGGCACCTGCGTCAAGGGTGCAAGGCGGCCACGTGAGGCTCAAATCCCCCCTTTGGCACGTTCGTCCTTTCTCCTCTCTCGCTGAGAGACACCCACGAAGAAAAGCCCAGTGCACGTACACCAACACATGGCTCTGACGTCACGCCTGGAACATTCTCAAGGGAATAAACTGTAGTAAGGTTGTAAGCTAGGCTAGTTGGTAAGCATTAAATGTAATGATAGACCATACCCTATGCGCTTCTCTTCTTACCTCGTCTGTTCTGTCTATTTGTGCGTGGTCTATCATCATGTTTTCTGAAGGAAAGTTGCCGCTCCGTTTATCATGATGCAAGCGGGGCTCATAGAAATAAGCGAATTTACGAAAGAAAAAGTCGGGGACAAGGCTTTAGCCAGCTCTGTTTCACCGCATGGAATAAGGCCAGCTCGTAAGCTGGTTGGAGCCAGTGGAGGTTGTAACTGCCGTCGTGCACGGAGAGGAGAGACCAAAAAGCCGAGCCACCGACGAAAGAGCTGCGGTTGACCGCATCAATGCTAGCTTCAAATCAGGGATGAGGCATGAGTTTAGGTCTTCATACTGCCACTCTAACGTACCCTGCAATTGAAAACATGCACAATTCCCATCAGTTCCCAACCACGCGCTTTCCTTTGAAAGTGAATACAAAGGGTGATAAATTTCTGCGCCGACAATGCTCACACGTTGAGGAGGGAGTTCACCAGTGTCCTGAGCACCGTCGACTTGCCAGAGTTCTGACGGCCGCAGACGACGACGCGTGGCACCTCACCACCTGCGGAAACCAAGGCCACACGTTTGGCACACGGCCGACGCTTTCCGAAGGGCTCCCGACATCGAGCGACCCAAAAGCCTCTTGGGAGGCGTCGGAGAATTCAAAAGACCTTGAGAATCTGAGCCAGTTCCTCGCAAAAGTGGCCCTAAATGGAGTGATTTGTGGATGTCTTTCTTTCTCCACGTATACAAAGGGGGAACCGAGGCCTCCGTTTACACATTTAATTTAATCTGGCATTTTTCAAACTCTATCTTTTTTGCAGAAATTGTTTTTCTGCATAGTGTCCCCCCTTAAGGGCGGACACTACCCAGAAAAAACAATTTTTGAAAAAAGTCGATTTTGAAAAATGTTATATTTACATCCACCAACATCTAGAGAGTATTCCCAGAAAGTTTCTTTACGCTGCAGAGTTAATTTTTTATATTAATTTTCAGTCCACCGATGCTAAAGAAAAGGCAGAAGTTGGAGCACTTTGAACCCATTTTTCTCCATTCTACTTTTAAGGGCGAAGCTCAATATGGTCTAGCCTTGTCCGTCCGGCGTCCGTGCTCACATCGATTGCCGGCTCATCTGACTTCTTGAAAAAAGAAAGAATGGTTGCACAGTCGACAGGATTCGAACCTGTGCGGGGAGACCCCAATGGATTTCTAGTCCATTGCCTTAACCACTCAACCACGACTACGGGACGAGTAGGAGGCTCTGAGATGTGGTAGTAACTCAAGAACTGGGGATGTCATGGATGAAACGTTGCATGTAGCTGCTCAACATCTATAAAGGAGAGAGGAGAGGGCGCTGCGGTCAAATGCGTATATAATCGCGTTAAACATTGCATGCATTGGCTCAACGTTTATAGACGAGAGGGTGCTGCAGTCAAATGCTCAAATGCGTATATAACCATGTTCCATACCACACATTCTCTTTCTGACATGGACCGTTGACTTAAGCAGTGGAGATGCGTTCCCATGACTTCTAGCGGATCCAAGCTGATCCGCTAGAAGAACCACTGGCTCTGCATTTCACCAACCATAAAGCAGTAATATTGAAGTCGAAACTGTGAGAATCGGCCCGCCATCACCGTGAGTGGACGCGGGAACAGGACCGAGCTTCATTTTCTTTCCATTGCGTGTTGGCGTTTGCTCGTGTGCCCCTGTGTGTGGGTGAGTTGGCGACGCTCGTGCGAGCTGGGGCAGGGGACGCTTTGAGAAGAGAAGAAGACAAGGACAGCACGTGCCGTAACCTTTTGGAGGACATTCGAAAATTAGCTTCACTTGTAAATAGACGTGTTTTTTTTCTTCCCCATACCCGCGGAGTCCTGTCTGGTTTATTCTTCCGTCAGCGACCATCAGCTGCCGCCGTCGTCGGGTCCCGGCGCAATCTCGAAGAAAGAACATCTTCACTGGCGCAGTCGACAGGATTGCGTCAGCGGACCCCGGCGGCGTGATCTTCACAACGGAATCGGCGGACAGCGACTTGACGCGGCACTGGTGGAGCCTTCTACAGAGAAGGTTGGACCACCGAGCTCCTTGAAGATTGGACCACCGTGCTACTTCGTGGTGACAGAGCTACCTCGGACCTGATGCCGTCCCACTTCAGCGAGGAACGCCTGAATCTACAGCTCGGACATCATTTTCGTGCCTGACTATTCTGAGCAGCGGGCTGCGTCTGTGATCCAGCGGCAGTCGTTGACCTTACGGTAAGGTGATTCTTTGACGTGTGCCCGCCATGGATACAGACAGTGCAGAGCGGCGGATGCCGGTTCTAATGCCCGAGCAGAATAGGGGTCGGAACAGGGATGTTGACGGGCCAGGTGAATCGTCACCTTCGAGTGGATTAGGGGCAAACTCGCAGACACAAGGGGAGGGGAACGGAGGATTCCGATCAGACAGCTTAATTGAAAAGGAGATAGAACTAGTGAGGGAGAAAGAACGGCTAATACGTCTCGAGCTAGAACTAGAACATCTACGCTCAGAAAACCGAAAGCGAGCCAGTGGAGGCGGCATGGAGTTTAACCTCCGAGATGAAGTTTTTCGCTTTTCGAGATTGATGAAGGGAGTGCTCACTCCCATGCCGTCGTCCGACATATTAGTGCCGAGCTGGTTTGATGGCGTAGAAAACGTCTTCGAGACATATGAAGTCCCTGAGCGGCTCAGAGAACATCTTGTGCGACCTTATTTCACGGAGGGTATGCGTGCACTAGTGAATAGGCTGAACATGGGTGAGAGAAGTGGGTATGGTGCGGTCAAAGAATCGGTCTTGTTAGAGCTTGGAGTGTCGCGAGCTGAGGTATCGAGGCCCTTTATTGAAACCACCACTTCTCTCAAGGAAAAACACGAGAACCCGAGGCAGGGCATTATACCTGAATATTATTGGGTGAAGTGTTTTAGATGCAAGGAATTGGGGCACCTTTCCCGCGAATGTCCCCGGACGAAGACACGAGACGAAGAACTTCGGTTTCACAAAAAAAGGGTAGACGCCAAGAATGTCACTGTGGAGGAAGACTCCAGCCGTGAGCCCGACAAGGTGACGACCGATGTGGGCAAGACCGACGGTAACAACTTGAACCTCCAAGGCCAGAAGAGGCTGCACCCATCGGTCCGCGAGGCGCCTCACATTCTGTTACAAGCCGACGACACGAAGCGGTCGTCAAAGAACAATCCCAGCTGCGTGTCTGTGCAGGCGGACGTTGACGGCAGAAATGAGCTGAACGTCTCGCGTTCCTGGAGGACGTCCCAGCGAGCCGAGGATGACCACGACGAGAAGGTGAACGTCGACGACGAAAGGCCGTGCACTTGGCCTGGGCGGCAGGCATCCCGGCGATCTGAGGACGACCCATGTGTGAACTTCGACAACGTCAAGGCCGGTACCGACATCTTACCTGAATTGCACAAGTTCCTACAAGACAATAACGACCACGTTGAGAACATGGGCGGCGGTTACAAAGAAGAACCGAGGGTATTTTCCGAGAGGCGGAAATGCCGGCAAGCCGAAGATGACGACGGCGAGAACGTGGACGACGACGAAGGACTAAACTTATCGCCTGGGCGGCAGGCGTTTCGGCGTGCCGAGGACGACGATGGCGAGAACGTGGCTGACGACGAAGGACCGAACTTATTGCCTGGGCGGCAGGCGTTTCTTCGACCGGAGGATGATCACGACGAGAACGTGAACGTCGACGACGTGACAGAACCGAATGTCTTGCTTTGGCGGCAGAGGTTCTGGCAAGCTGATATTGACCGCGGCAGGGAAGTGGGTGTCGACAAGAAGTCGGACATCTTCTTAGGGTGGCTGACGTCACAGCCGGCCGGTGAAGATGTCAGGGAAAGCGGGGACAGCGACGAGGACACCGTCTTCGAGATGAATATGTCCCAGAATATAGCTAGAGACGCCGATGAAGACTCGACCACCTGCCAGCCGACCACGTATGAGAGAGCTGGGAGTGCAGAAGACGACGACAACGACGACCGCCTGCGAGGCGCATTCCCGATTCGTAAGTCAGGACAGAGCATAAACTGTCGTCGCTCTTGCGCGGGGATGTTCCGGAACCGGCTATGCACCATCCGATTCAAGCCCCGTCAAAATCTGGATGGCGTGAATAACCTGTCAGCAAAGAGACCAAGGCTAGGAGGCTAGATGCTACGCTAGTTTTAGCACGACATTTGTCACTCCTTTGGAGCCGTGGCGGGCACAGTAAGAATCACTTGACTAGCATGGGATTTGCATTTGGTGTAAATTTCTTCTATAGTTTGGATTCTTGTGGGTTGAGTCACTAACTCTGTGCAAAGTGTGACTGATACGCGTACGTGTTTGAGTTTAGTTGTTATATATTATTTTTGACATTTCGGGTCTAAAAAATATACTTAGTCGGGAGGTGTGAGAATCGGCCCGCCATCACCGTGAGTGGACGCGGGAACAGGACCGAGCTTCATTTTCTTTCCATTGCGTGTTGGCGTTTGCTCGTGTGCCCCTGTGTGTGGGTGAGTTGGCGACGCTCGTGCGAGCTGGGGCAGGGGACGCTTTGAGAAGAGAAGAAGACAAGGACAGCACGTGCCGTAACCTTTTGGAGGACATTCGAAAATTAGCTTCACTTGTAAATAGACGTGTTTTTTTTCTTCCCCATACCCGCGGAGTCCTGTCTGGTTTATTCTTCCGTCAGCGACCATCAGCTGCCGCCGTCGTCGGGTCCCGGCGCAATCTCGAAGAAAGAACATCTTTACTGAAACACAACCCGGAACTCAGCACTACCTATGAGCAATAAAAAAAAAAAAAAATCAGCACCATCAGCACTATCTATGAACAATAAAATCAGTATCATCAGCATCACCAGAGCTTCGCCCCAATGAACATCATTCACCACGTGGAGATACGGTCATTCTTTGGCATATATTTCACTTTAGGAAAAGTATTGTTTTGTTATTACGTAACTTGAATTCATTTTTATGAGTTTTTCTGGGGTGAAAGTTTAAGGGAAAGATAGCTAAGAGCTCATATTTTTTTATTTTTGTAATTTTTCATGTGCAGATGTGCAGAAACTAAACTTTTGGACAAAGGATGGAAAAAAACAGTATTTGTGTTTATGTGGCTTTTTTGTCATGAAAGATGGTATAATATAGAAATATAGCTCCAAAGCTATCTGCTCTGAACTGTTGTGGTTCTCCTTGGGGCCACTACCTTTGGGAGTACCACGTTCACGGCGAGACGCTCTACCGCGAAGCGGGTTCGTACTCGCGTGGCATGCTGCCCGTTGAGCGCAGACAGACACCAGTCACGTTGGTAACGGTGATAAACTCTGTTTATTTACAAAGAAACAATAACAACAAAACAGCGGCTATAAACTGGTGAACGCCGTTGGTGTGGAGATCGCCTGTGGCCGAACGGTCGTTCACAAAGGTACAAAGGATGGGGTAAACGCTCACCGGTGCGCCGGACGGTTCCCCGTTGTCGCCGCCGCCGAATCCCAGGAAGAGAGAAACGAGATTCTGCTGTCTGCTGGTTTTAAGATA